AGAGGCTCCTCTAGCGTAGAAACTTTCGGGAACGCCCCGACAGCGGTTTCGGATTAAAGTGGGATTGCTACCCACCCCCTAGATGAGCACTGTCTACGGACAAAGGTCTCTTATCGAGCTCAGCCTACACCTCCTGCACGTAATCGAGGGACGCCATAGGTCTAGCCTAGGTGGTCCGATCCTTCGCTTCCCCAAGGGTACCACGCCGGTCATACGCACAACAATGCAAAGCATACTTGAGTCAAAGACCGCCGATATCACTACCCTTTCCAATCGCTTACTTACGCATTCGAGGGACTGTAGCATGATCATGACGTCCTCAACATGCTGTCGTCCGGTCGCAACGTCTCCCGTAAGGAACGGGGGGTAATACATTGACCATACGCAAGCTTCACGAAAGGTCCCAGATAGAAGACAGCCTCTGTCTAAGTTCCCGCCAGGGGCGTCACCACAAGCCACCACGAGTCCATCCCAATGTGACTCTGGGCTGGTTTTTGAAACGTTGAGTCACCCCGTGGTACAGATGGCCATACAACCCTCCCCCGTCTTTGTAGACAGGATCTGGTGTACTGGCCCTCATGTGACTCTGTTAAGGCACCCGCCGCCCCTGCCGACCCTGAGGCCGACATGAGGCAGTTTGTGCTTTAGAGAGGTTGTCACGCCCTCTGGGCTGCACCATTATTTTGTGCCCGGATACCCCCGTTGTAACCAAGGGTTAGGAGGGGTCACAGGATAGAATGAAGGAATTCGGATTGAGAAACAGGGCCGTGGAAGAATCACGAGGTGAGCCGTTTCGGGGTCTCGAGTCTCAACCACATTATACCACCCGTTGTCGCCGTGGTTCCACATAGAGTGGGCCATGACTCCCAGGGTGGGTGAGGCGATATGGCCGTTCAAAAGCCGAACTAGTCGACCGTATCCCAGCCAGTCGCCTCGGGGGGGTTGAATCCGAGTCCTCGGAAAATAAATCCCGCGGGTCGGATTGGGATCCTCAATCACAAACACTCACTCTTCACAATCAGTGCGCTCGCGGTGGGCGACCGGTTCCTCAGGCTTTTGCAGTTTCCGTTCAGGGTTCCTGCTACTCCCCGGAGGCCGAATGTCGCTCACACCTGGGCTTGAGAGACTCTTCCTCAGCGATTCGACCCACTAAATCGCACATGGAGGCAAGGGGGAGGTGTTCAGGCTCCCCCAACGTCAGAAACGGGAAAAGTCGAACAGTCGAGCCCAGATAACGTGGGCTACGACTTCCGCTGCCTCTCTTGAGACCCAGAGCGGTCAGATAGCCAACTGGGCGCGAGGCACCCGCCGGTCTACCCGCCGTCGTAGGCTCCCTTTCTTCGCAATAGCCCTTCATGGGTTCGGAAGCCCAGACGAGCTCTCGCAGGCTTCCGCAGGTGCCTGTTACTACTCAAGGGTTGTTCGTACACCCACTCCGGAGCTTGTTAGAGTCTTCTCCCACACGAGTTCGGTGACTTTGAGGATAGTTAATCAATTCAATCTCCTCGTTGGTTGCCCTTTGGTGAGCGACGGGGACCCTAGAATATAGAGCCAACCGCCGCCCCCAGAGCCAAGAGACAGTACTCCGCCACTATGCTCAGACCACTTTGGAGAAATGTGATCGGTTCAATACCAATCTTTTGTCCTTGCGGTTTCCATTTTGTATTTGTTTTTGCGGTTTTCATTTGGTTTTATTTACTTTGCCGTTTCCATTTGGTTTTATTTACTTTGGGGTTTCCATTTGGTTTTATTTTACTCCGTGGCCAGGCCAGTAGCGAAGATTTCAGAGATGAATGGATGGACCGTGGTCCCTTACACACGCTCGACTTCTCTTGGTAATAAAGGCCAGGTGAATAAAATCATCTCCCCTTCTGCGGCATCGCGCCGAAATCCACAAGCCTTCTCCAGTCGACTTACTCTCGGGACTTCTGCCGAGAGCTATTCCTCAGCGATTTGCACCCTAAAAATCGCACATGGAGGAAACAAATGAGAGAACCCTCACTCTCACAGACAACAGTCTTTAACATAGTCGACCACACGGGAGAATCTTCCCTCTGCGGAATTCCGAACGAGATACTCCAGGGAGCGACCCCACACTCAGTCCCCTATCGCCCGCTTCCGAGCACCCACACCTCTTCTGCGGTATCTTACCGAGATCCTCCAAAGGGCAACTCCCCGCCGGCTTATTCCCCCTCAGTTCACCACTGAGATTTTTCCCTCAATGGCGGGAAGGGGGAGGTGCATTACTTCTCCCCCGGTGCAAGATCGACAGCAGTCAAACATTCGGGCTTAGACCCCGGGGACACCTGTCTTGGGCCCCTGTCCGAACCTCGAAGTCCTTCCCGCCGCCGTCCGCCACCTCTATCTTAGCCGGTCGCAAGAGCAACCCTTCTTCTGCGGCATCTCCAATAAGATCCTCCAAGGAGCCGACGCCTATCACACAAGCCAGTTTCACAAACGACCGCCGGGACCACCCGAACCTGTTCGGCATCTCTCACGAGACCCTCCAAGGAACGACCGACCCAACAGTCGCGAATTTGCTACACCCCATCCATCGATTCGTGAGATTTGCAGGTCTCTTTTTGTTCAGCCTCCTAGGAGACCTTAACAGTGGCACCACGAGAAGGCAAAAGCCTGCACGACCCCATCCTCCTGTCCAACGCATCACGCAGACGGTGTGGATGACCACCAGCTGATCGGGGCAAGGGCATTCACCTCTTCAGCGACAAGTTTTATTTCAATTACATTTGTTGAAATTTATTTGTTTATTTAAATTCAATTTTACACTGGCGGATGCAATTGTAAAACGGTTGAATTATCTTAAGAAAAAAAGAGAAAATCTTTATGCCTCTCTCACAAAAATCGCCGACAATTTTAAAGAGATTTCGAGTGATAATTATGTCTCATTTCGACCGCAGTACAAAAAATTAATAAAAATTGAAGGTCCTGAATTGAATTTGAGGTCATTCAGGACAAAATAATTGAATACAATAGCGCGTTAACCGACGAAACGTTGGCTCTTCATACTTGCGGTGTTCAACAGTCATTCGACGATCTATTTTTTTCAGCTCGTGGCAAATACCACACAACAATTAAAAGCATTCCTGTGTTTTCGGGACAGGAGGTTAAAACAGAAAGTCCTACGGATGCTTCCAAGGTCACTCTTTTAAAGCCCTTCTCCATACGATATTTTGATGGAAACATCTCGGAATGGGATAATTTTCATGCTTTATTTGAGGTATCCGTTCATAAAAACCCCGCTTTATTCGACGCACAAAAATTCGCGCACCTTCGCACTCACTTAAAGGGCGATGCCGCCGCAGTAATTTCTAATTTCAAAATCGCTCCTCAAAATTATAAGCTCGCATATGATTGTCTCATCGATCGATTTCAAAACAAAACAAGACTAGCCAATCTTAACGTCAATCAAATACGTACCCTTTGTTCCCGCAAAAGATAACTTACAAGAGTTAACAAAATTTTCTTTAAGTCCATTGCAACTCCGTAAACGCACTTAAGTCCTTAAATTTACCCGACTTGGCCGATTTTGTACTTTTCAATCTAAGTTTTCATAACCTTGACCCCATTGCTCAACGAAAGTTTCAATGCTTGACTCCTGTCAACTCGATTCCCACGCATAAAAACCTCATTGATTTTATTACCGAATCGTTGTAGAAACCATGAAGCTTACGTGAAGGACGTGGAAACCTCTAATTCTAATTCCAAATCGGCAACTCCAAAAAAATTAGAATATTCGAGAAAGTCCCATGTTTTGATAGCTCGGAAAAATAACGACTTTGTTGATAAGCCTGGTAATACGACTCCGACCTCCGTTTCTTTATGCCCTTTATGTCGAACACCACATTCATGTCCACTCTCTTGTCGCGTATTTCAACAACAAACTGTCGAAAACAAATACGAAACTGTCAAATCCCTCAAAAGGTGTTTTAATTGTTTAGGAAACCACCTTCGCAGCAAATGGGGTTCGACAAAAACATGCCTCAAATGCAACTCGAATTTACATCACACACTTTTACACCGCGACGTTTTTATAGTACCGCCTGCGTCAACCCCTGCATTCCAACCGCCAAACAGCATTGCTGTACCGACCGATCACCCTAATAGTTCTACAGTTAATTTTGTTTCCTCCTCGAGGGCATCTGACGTTCCGACCCCCGTCCTGTTGGGGACAGTAAAAGCTCTCATTGCCGATTCTTTTGGTACCTTCCGACCCGTTAAAGCTGTGACCGATTCTGGCTCACAGGTGTCGGTAATTTCCCAACATTTGGTAAATAAATTGGGGCTCCCGACTAATAAATCCTCAATGAATGTCGTCGGGATTTCTGAGTCGAACACCGCTTCTTTAGGGTCTGTATCATGCACGATCAAGCCCTCTCAATCAAATCAACCCCTGTGGAAAACTCGTGCATTGATTTTGCCTAGCATTTCAGGCAATTTCCCCCCTATGCCGTTGTCTGTGGAAACTAGACAAAAATTTCTATCCCTCCGTTTGGCCTACCCTGATTTTTATAAACCCTCTTAAGTGGATTTCATCATTGGGGCGGATTTTTATCCAAGCCTATTTGAAAACCTTACCCCCTCCGTAATTTCTGGTAACCCCTCCGCATTCAAAACCGTTTTCGGTTGGGCGATCTTAGCCACCTAGCCGAGCCTAAATCAACCGAAAATGTCAGTTCCCTCCTCATGACCGCCCCCCCAGTCTAGACAAAAGTTTTCAGCGGTTTTGGGAAGTAGAAAAGATTCCGCCCACTCTGATTTCTAACCCCGAAGAGGATTTTTGTCAAGAGAATTTTTTGTAAACTCATCGTCGTGATCCGACAGGGCGTTACGTCGTTTCTTTGTCGTTTCGACCAGAAGCACGGGAACCCGGTTTCAACCGTTCGTTTGAGCTCAATTCCTACACGAAACTGGAAAATAGACTTAAAAAATCGCCCGAATTAGAGCAAGCATATCACAACTTTTTGGCCGAATATCTCGAAATGGGTCACATGTCTCCAGTGTCTACCCCCTCTCCTTACGTCATCCCTCATACTTCTGTCATGAAGAAATCCTCAAACAAGATTAGGGTAGTTTTTAATTCCTCAAGCCCTGATAAAACCCGCAAACCCTTGAACGAAAGGTTACTTCTTGGCCCCAAGCTGCAAAAAGAGTTGCCTCACGTCCTCATTTCCTTCCGCCAACATCGTATTGCCCTATGCTCAGACCTCCGGATGATGTACCGTCAAATTTTGGTAGATCCTGAGGACAGGAAATACCAACAAATTTTTTGGAGGCCATCCCCCACTTCTCAAATCCAGGAGTTCGAATTGAACACGGTAACCTATGGGCTTTCCCCTCTGCCTTCTTGGCTATACGTGACCTAAAACAGCTAGTGGCTGACGAATGCACGCAGTTTCCCTTAGCTTCGAGAGCAATCCTCGACGAAACGCACGCCGACGATGTCGTTTCGGGTACAGACACGTTCGAGGAAGCTCTTCGTCTGCGCGCCGAGCTCACTGCACTCCTTTCTCTAGGTGGTTTTGAGCTGAGAAAATGGATGTGCAGCGAGCTGACCCTTTTATCGGACCTTCCTATCGATCAAATCGAACCTCTCATTTTTCCCGATACTGATGCCAGCCCGAAAATTCTTAGACTGACATGGGATCCAAAAACGGATTGTTTTGGTTACAAAGTCGACTCTTTCACACATGAACCCTCTAAAAGAACAATTTTGTCCTTTGTTGCCAGATTTTTTGACCCGTTGGGTTGCATATCTCCCATTACGTTTTGGGTGAAGCACTTTCTGCAAATTTTATGTAAAGAAAATCTATAATGGGATGATCCCCTCCACCCTAAAGTTTTAAATATGTGGGTTCAATTTACTTCCGAAATAAAAAATGATAGAGTAAGTTCACATATACACGGCCTTCAGCAATAATTCTCACCTTGTTGGTTTCTGCGACGCCTCCTCCAAGAGATATGCTACCGCTATTTACATGCGCACCGAGCTTCCCGACAAAATCGTGGCCTGCACCCTGCTCACTCCAAAAAGTCGCGTCGCCCGCTTGAAGCAGCTCACCACCCCCCGGTTAGAATTAATGAGTGCTCTCCTATTATCAAAACTCCTCAATTTTGTAGCTCCCTCCATTCCCTCATCGCAAGATCGCATTCACTTATGCAGCGATTCCCCAGTTGTGCTCGCTTGGCTTTCGACACCGACTCATCTCTCAAAATTTTTGTTGGAAACCGAGTCGAAAAAGTAATTTCCGTTGCGCCACCAGAACCATGTCCGTACCGAACTTAATCCAGCTAACCTAGCCAGCAGAGGTATCTTGGCGTCGCAGTTTCTTCAACAACTCCTTTGGTGGAATGGGTCCCCTTTCATGAAGGAACCCGTTGATAATTGGCCTCGTTTGCTCTCTTCCGGCATGGATTTGGAGCAACTCCCCGACCTAAAGCCTGAAAGAGTGTCATTGAATAATTGGGTGTCGGAAAAACCCCGGATGACATCCTGAAAAGATTCTCCTCTCTCACGCGTTCAAAACGAGTCGTTGCGTATGTTAATAGGATTATTCGTAGTTCGCGCGCGCCTCCCCCCGAACGAAAATTTGGAAACCTCACCCTCGTCGAGCTCAATGAAGCCATGTTGACATGCATTGGAATTGCTCAAAGGACATTTTATTCGGATGACATAAAATCCGTCAAGGAAAAGGTTCGCCGCTTCATAAATCTTTGCGCCCTCTCGCGCCGATTTTGGACACCCGGCATTTCTTGAGGGTGGGCGGCCGCCTTCGTTTTGCCAATATCGCTTTTGATTCTAAGCACACATTATTAATTCCATCAACCTCCCTCTTAGCCTTATTAAATTAGCCGTAAATTCTATCATGAATATGCCCTCCACTCTGGCCCTCGAACGACACAAGCCATAATCCATTCAAAGTATTGGATCATTGGCGTTCGGTCTCTTCTTCGTAAGATTATTTTTAATTGCCACAGGTGCCACAAATTTAAGGCAAAGCCACGCCAGCCGATGATGGCTGATCTTCCTCCCTCTCGTGTTGTCTGTTCGAGAGCTTTCCTCCGCACGGGCGTGGATTTGGCTGGTCCTTTTCCAATAAAGTTCAGCCAAATGCGGAACGTCTCGACAACGAAAGGTTATATGGTTCTATTCGTGTGCATGAGCACCAGGGCTACCCATCTGGAAGCGGTATCTGACCTCACCACCTCGGCCTTCCTTGCGTGCTTAAACCGCTTCGTCGCTCGCCGCGGACTCCCAGCGGAGATGTTCTCCGACTGCGGAAAAACTTTGATTGGAGCAGCGAACAAGTTAAAGGAAGCTGCCTCCTTCTTAGTGGAAAACGAACAAGAAATTTACTCCCGGTTTTGTTCCTTAGGGTTCACTAAGACGTTTAATCCTCCAGCCGCCCCGAATTTCGGTGGGCTTTGGGAAGCCGGCGTGAAAAGTGCCAAGTGTCTTCTCAGCAGGATGGTGGGTGACGGCCCGTTGACCTTCGAGGAGTTCTCCACATTGCTGTGTCGCATCGAAGCAACATTAAATAGTCGACCGCTGTGTTTCGTTTCGTCCGACCCTCACGACCATTTTGATTATTTGACGCCCGGTCATTTTCTTGTAGGCGCCCCTCTTGTTGCTCCTCCTGAACCGCCTTTAGATTTAGATCAAAATCTCAAAACACGATGGAGTCGAATCAACCAATTTTCCCAATTCTTCTGGAAAAGGTGGTCAAAAGAGTACCTCCACACGCAAATACAGCGACATAAATGGACTCGAAATCCGGAAAATCTAAAGGAAGGTGATATCGTTTACCTCTATGGCACCAACTCTAGCCCTCTTAGTTGGCCTATAGGTCGCGTCGAAGAGGTGCATCCCGGTTCCGACGGCGTTGTACGGGTCGTCTCGGACCGCACTTCCGGCGGCTTGTACGTCAGACCCTCTAACAAGTTCTTCCTCCCCCTCAATCCTCCTCTATTTAAAATCCTCCTTCCCTTGTAACCTCCCTTCGCCAAGGTGGCTTCTTTAATTTTACTTATATTTTTTTATAAAATATTCATTTTAGATGGGCGGTATGTTCGCATCGGACATATTTTATTTTCTTTTTTTCTTAAAAAAAAAAGTGTATTTAAAGTTTCGTTACTCAACTTTTTTGTGGTCGGCGAACGCACCTCGTCATCGGACCCGAAGGGCATTAATGGTGCTTAGAGTCGCCCCTGTCGACGTCACACGTTTAGTACGTTACAAACCTCCGAACACGTTTGTTCGGACCTCGCCAATTCGTCTAACCTCTTTTGACTCCCCTCAAAGTCAACCCTCGTGTTTCCTTGCTCTCGTGTACAACAGGATTATTCTTTTTTTTCGTTACGCCTCCGCACTTTCTGGTAGTCTCAACAAGTTTCTCCGACGCTGGATCCGAGCTCGGTGACGCCGAAGATGATTTCATCGACGCGCCAGAAGATATATTTCATACTGTCCACTCAAAGGTAATTCTTCTCATTTTCTTATTTATTTTATTTTTTATTTTATTTTATTCCTCAAGCCTTCGCTTTTTTTTTATTTATTATTTTTATTCGGCAAGCCTCCGATTTTATTTTGTTTTATTTTATTTTGCGTTTCATTTTTAATTAAGACCAGCACGAACATAAATAAAAATAAACAGATATTCCAAAATAGACTATATTTTTTACGTGTGTGACGTTTTAATGATCAAAAAAGATGGAATTCTATTATTTAAAATGACTTTCCAAAATGAACATTGGCGAGGAATGTCGGGGTAGAGAATCTCCCAACCTTCAGAGTTACACATTACTTACAATCGATAATTGTACAATACAATTACACAAATACAATAGATTTTTGAAAATTGTATGTTAGAATCTAGAATCGATTATGTGCAAAAATAAAGAAAATCTATATCTCTCCGGCTAAAACATTACTAAACTCTTCACATATAAATAGGGATATTGCCAATTTTGTAGTATTTACTTTCACTAGCATTTTTATTTTATTTTCATTATAAATAGCATTAAAATTTATTAGAAATTATTATGTTCATGAAAGAAAATGTAATTAAGGGATTTTGAAAAATAAATTACTAAAAGGTTTTAATTTCATAATTGTTTATTGGATAAAATATTTCTTTAAACAATTAATATTAATATACATTGTAAAAATTGATAATGTCTTCTGATAGGTAAAACATCTGCTAGGCATACTCTTAATAAGGCTGTCACTAATTTCATAAGGAATTTCACTCCTCTAGTGCAACACTGCACTCAGTTGTTGCAAGTAAACTGGCTGCGGATGAAGATCGATAAGCCTTCTCTGCAACGCATCCCGTATGTGCTCATTGGGAGTAAGGTCTGGAGACAAGGGTGGAAGGGGCAGATGGGAAATTCCCAAGTTATCTAAACATTGTTGAACAACTGCTTCCATGAGGTCTGCCATTGTCATTCGGAAATCGAAAATTCCTGCCAATGGGATCCATAGTTTGAGGGATGTATTCCTCAATAATTTCTCGGACATAATGGACTGCGGTGAGATTGCCTTCAAAAATATGGAGTTCAGTTCGTACTCCAGTGTAATCCCAGCCCTGAAGGTGACATCGCCTCCTCTAAACTGAACTGAATGGTGTACGAACTGGGCCATTGTACGCATCCCCATCGGCCCCTGCTATCACTGTACAGACAGAATCGCGACCCATTAGTAAACGTAACAGCATTCCAATTGTGTTCTCTTGTTGGCGCTTCCTGCATTATATTCTTCTGAATTGCTGTTGCGGTCTGTTCTGCAAGTCATGTCAAAGTAGCATACGATATGAGGCCAGCTTCTCACAAACGATTACGGATCAATCGTTTGTGTTGACAAAGGCGGGCATCATGGAAAGGATTCCGTCTTGCAGCATTATATATAGCAATATTTCTGTCCTCCATTAGCGTTGTAATGAACTGAGATCCACTACCAGGCCTCCTATTGGCAGTTCCAGTTGCTCGTAATCGGGCTAAAGTCAGGGAGACAACGCTCTTAGAAAGCCAACTGCCTCTGCGATATCCACTTGTCGCTGACCTCGATACCTCAATATCACAGTAATATTGCGAACTTCTGGTTCAAGATGATGTCTTTCCATGGTTAAAGAGAATACAACTGGATTAAGATGGAGAAAAGACGGGAAATGGTGTTTGTTTGCATGATGAGTAATCGTCAACTTTACTATTCTTAAGTAAGTACATTATTAAAAATGAGGATTAACGTTTGTTTGTTTTTGGTTTGTATTTTCTTTTTTGTTTTACCCAACTAACTATAATATATTGGTTAATTTAATTAAAGTTAATAGAATAATAATAAATTACAAATATCCCTATTCATATTTGAGAAGTTTTGTTATAGAGAATTGAAAAGCAACCGTCAAAAAACAAGGAAGACGGCACCCGGCCAATAACCGCCCCCCGTATATGTTTTCACAAGAAATTTCCTATTTGTAGTTTGTGTTATTTTGTCAGTGGGTTTTTAATAGCGGCGGCAAAATTCCTAGTGGAAGAAGACGAGAATGACTTGAAACTAGAAACAGTGAATATAATAACTTCAGTTTACTTATGTTTTAAATGCATCAATTTGAGAAAAAAAACAACAGCGCACAAATGTAATTGTGAACGTATGGCATTACATAAGTAGTTTTAATTTCATCAGAATTTAAGTTTTCATTCTTATGAAGAATTTTCTCATTGACGATACAATTTTTTAAAAATTTCTTAGCGATGCTCGCATCTGCTTTATGATTCTACAAACCATTTATCAAAATTAGTTTGGTGCATTCGGAAAATGTGTTTCTTTATGCGAGAAACCTGATTTTTCGCAATAAGAAAAAAATTTAAAACTAGAAATTTTTAGTCAATCATCAATATGACGTTTAAATGAATCTCTGGCTCTGTTTGATGGTTTAAAGATTAAATAACTTTTTAAAATTGAATTTAAATACCGCCAATATACTTGCAATTGAGTCAACTGTAATCGTATAAATGATATAAAATTATAAGATAAAAAATGCCAAGTTAAAATTTCCATTTTTAAGAATTGTTAAAGTATAAAGAACGTTTAGTCATTTATATCTCGAAGAAAGAATGATCGTTCATTGTAAGACAAGTTGAGAGAATGAGTTATAGATGTTTTATTTTTGGCGAACGGCTTTGATTTATTAGAGTTGATAAATTGTTCAACCTTTATCTACACACGTATAAAAAAGAAGGTCAACGTTTTAATCCCAAATCAGAAGTGATTTTGAGGAGTAGGCCGCAAATAGGATTGAAGGATCGTTATTGTAAAATCCGACACACCATTAGAAATATTTACCAATGGAGAAACCCCGGCGGCCTGATTATTAATTACTATTTGCTGTTTGGTAAAGGACATGGTCCGAGCAATGTTTTTCTCCCGGCCTGTTTATTTCCCTGCCCTCTTTCCACATTTAACACGACGATAAACAACAATAAAACCCATTAAAGAGCACAATAAAGAGCCTCCTCGTCGGAGACGTCTTGACAATGGAAGACCCAGTTGGACTCTTACCAAATGCGCGGCTGCAGATATCTGCATGAGGTAGATGTTACATGTGGGGGCCTTAAACGTTTTTTCATTCTATCAGCCATCTCAGCCAGCAAATGTAACGATCCAAAGACGGTTCATCCACTGGGAGTATCGTATTCGACTTGAAAAAATACCATTTAAGAAACTCTCTAGCGTGAACAGATAAAAAGAGTTTTTACTGAATTTAAAGCCACTTTATTTTCATCGAAATGACGTTAAATTGAAATGAGCATATCTACGTAATTTTCTTTAATAACTGTTGACCATTCAAATATACATCAAACTACAGTGATTGTTTGGTTACTGTTGCTTTCATATAACCTTAACAGCATACATTAATCAACAAATATAAAACTCGTTTGGAAATCTGAACTTAAATGCAAATAAAACAAAGATCACAGCATGTGACATTAATTTTTTACTTTCTACTTAGCTACTTCGATATATGAAATGATCAGTTTTTGGTACAACTCTGTTATTATTTTAAGTAATTAAGATTTATCAGGGCTAGTAAATTCAACGCTAATCGCGTGAAAAACACAGCTGGACTAGTGATACTAATAAAACCTTAGTTTGTAAAGAAAAACGTGAAGGGAGAAATTGCTAATATTGACCGACTGTCAGGCACATGTGTCCGATATCTATTATGGACATTCCGAGGGGGCTCCGGGTTGCAAATTGGCCCATGAAAGAGATATTCAATAAATCAGTCAATCTTTTTTGGTTTAGTTGTTTAAAAAAAAAAATTCGCAAATTAGGTTATTAAAAAGTTTGGTCCAGATGAAATTAGCGAATTTTATTGATAGTGATTAATTTAGTTAACAAGCATATTTTTGTAAAGGATCTTTTTATTTTTTTTCTCAATCTTAACATTATGCACATCGTTAATCATTCGGAAGAAATTAACAATAGGTTTTAATTTATTATTCGATTTTTTTCAAAAGCTTATTATTTTAATATAAGTTTAAGGTCATTAAGTTTTAATACGGTTGTAATTGATCGGCTTTTATGTATATCACATTTAATTACGAAACCTTCGACACAATGGACTGTTTAATCTTCTTGAAAAAAAAAAAGAAAAACTATGATTAAGTAATCCTCTTGAGGTGTGGATCGATTCGTTTCTATAGTGGAGATGCTTTATTGCAAGATTCTGGGAAGGATTATTGGCCCTTTGTCTTTATTGAATCCGGTGTGCCCCAAGGCATACGGGGTCAGTATTATTTCTGAAATTTTTAGGTGGCGTTGGATCAGCCCTTAACAAATCCTCATTTTCACGCTTAACTGTCTGCCTAAAACATTTTCGCCAAACTTGCTCATTTGAGAAATGTACTCACCTGCTTAACTGCAAGGATCTGGACACTTTTTGGTCTTGGTGCGAGAATCTGAAATTAAATGATAATAAGCGTAAAGTCATA